CTTCTTGTAGAGTAACATAAGCATGTATAGGTTTTAACAAACTACTAATTAAATTGCGTACACACATTAACAGAATAGGAATACAGATACATAACAAAAGTAGACTTACAATTACCAGCCATATCCAGTGAAACCAAGAAAACCAGTTAGGTACCCTAGGCATTTGTGAAAACTTATCAATAATATGATGGATATTGTCTAACTGAATTTGAATAGTTTGAGAAAAATCAGACAAATTAAAACAACACATTCCTGGGAACTGTTCACATCCCATATGTTCTTTTAACAGTAGATAGTCTATAGTTGCCCGATTTTGGAGCACTGAAACTTGCACTTCTCCTAATTCTTGGTTGAGTTCTGACAATATAGATCCAGTCAAATTTGTTGTTTTACTGTATGCACAGGCCAGCTTAGATATCTCCTTCATTCCAATGGCAACTCCAGGAACTGGTGGGATGAATACAGCTACAACTGCAACAGCGTCAGGATCTTTGTTGAAGTTTTTTGATGATCATCTTCTGAAGTCACTCTTCCAGAGGACGTTAATGTTGGAAGTTCTTCTTCATGTCATATCTTAATTCGTTTTCTGGGTAGCCAAATTAGTCTTTGATTCTCTGTATAAACACAAACAAACGCTTTGCCCACACTTTGATATGACCTTTATACCATTGTGAAGAACCTATTGGAGACCACCACACAGGAACTGCATTTTTTTTAAGAGAAAGAAATATTATCAGAGAAATGTACTCCCATAGCTGATCATCTGACAACCTTTAAAGGATCAAAATTAAGGATATGTAAAGCATGCATTAATCATTGATTTGCAGTTAATTTTATCCTATCAGGGAGTAATCCGCCCCCCTTTTTTTGTTATCATTAATCTACAATTACATGAAGAATATTATGTTTACTAGGCTCTCCCCTACACCAAGTCCCCCAGACAAACCCCATTACAGTCACTGTCCAGCATAGCAAAATGTTGTAGAATCACTGCTTGTCTTCTCTGTGTTGCAAAGCCCTCCCCTTTCCCCTACCCCCCACATTATATATGCTACTCATAATACCCCCTTTCTTCTTCCCTGCCCTTATCCCTGCCTACCCTCCCATTCTCCCCAGTCTCTTTCCCTTTGGTAACTGTTAGTCCCTTCTTGGGTTCTGTGATTCTACTGCTGTTTTGTTCCTTCAGTTCTTCCTTTGTTCTTATACTCTACAGATGAGTGAAATCATTTGGTACTTGTCTTTCTCCACTTGGCTTATTTCACTAAGCATAATACCCTCTAGCTCCATCCATGTTGTTGCAAATGGTAGGATTTGTTTTCTTCTTATGG